GGTCCCCTCTCGCACCCCTTGTCCGCCTGGGCAGAGCTGTGAGGGCCCAGGAGTCCAGTCTCACTGGCACTGCTGGGAGGGCTCTTACCACAGCAAGGTTGTGTGTGCAGAACACCTGGCAGGTGAGGGGGAGGTGTAAGAAAAGGTCAAATCAAACTTAACAGCCTGTCCAGTAAAATCTGCACTCCACTTATCAATTTCATTTAGGTTTGTCCAGATAAGAGGAAAGAATTGCTCACTTCCAGTTTTTCCTCAGTTTTGTCTAGTTTGTGTAATGCCTGAGAAGACTAAGAAAATCAGCACTCTGGAAAAAAGAGAAACACTGTTTCCATCCAAGAGCGCATTATAAAGTACCGATTTTGCTGTGTAATAAAGTGTTGCAGGTCTGCATATGGCTGAGAATAACCAAATGGATTTTAATGAGGGAAGGAGATGAAGTCCCTACTGCTAAAGCACACCTTGTAAGAGTCTGACATGTAGGCATCACCATCACAGACAGTAATGAAAACAAACCTCACAAATAATGCAGTAAAATGTTAAAACATTGAGGCACTAAAAAAAATATCTGTTCAGTTTTGGATCTGCTGTTAAAACAACACCCTACCTCATCTTGTTACCTGCACATATCTGAAGCCAAATCAAAGCACAAGTGATTTTAAATCTGACTTAAGATGCAAAACTGAGCCACCCCGTCCCCTAACACATCGTGGCCCTTGATGGGCAGTGGGAGATTTCAGCACCCACAGACAACTTGCCCGACCAACAGCTGAGCTGATTATGGAAAATGAAAGCGTTTTCCAGGGAGCACAAAGGAAAAAAAGTTCATGATGTGACCGGTCAGTTGGTTATGGTGGTGCTGTAACTTAGATCTGGAGCCATTTCCTTCTCCCAGGAGAGGACAGCTCCGTAAGAGGCAGGTTCACTCCCACTCTGGTGGTCCGTGTGGTCAGGACACGCCACTCCAGCTTTCAGAAGCCTTTCGGAACATTCCGATATGCCGGGGGTTATTTTTAGAAAGCCCTAATATGGGCTGCATACCACAGACTCTCAAATTATCCCATCCAGCTTAGCCCTCAGTTTAAATCTTCCTTTTTAATTCCAGTAATTACAGGCTCCAATTTATACGGAGCTGTGCACACAAAGGGGCTGCTTAATGCAAAACAGTTTGATTTGGGCAAAGTGTCCAAAGAAGCCTCCCACATCTTACATCGTGTTTATGCTGACTTGATGGTATATCCCCCCCCCCCACCACCACCACCACCACCAAAGGTTTACAGAAAAAAAAGATGAATTTACTTAAAATTCATTTCTGGTGAAAAAATAGGTTTCTTTAAAAAAACAGAACAGAAACAGACGTGATTCTTAAATGAAACTGCGCCGAGTACTTTTTGTCATTTTCCTACCAGGAGTCTAAAACCAAAACAGGACGTATTACAGTGACAAGTACGAGCCCAGTGCTACAGCAGAACTCCACACACTATACTTATGATGTTTCCAAGATTTAATCATATTTGTGGGACATAAAATCAAATAATCATTTTGGTTAGGTTGTGAACATCTTTGTTTGGGGCATGGCTGTCTAAACTGATCACAAACGCTTCCTTTTGAAAGCACTAGGCTCAGTTCAAAGTCTCAGTTTTTAAGGCCGATACTCCAACATTACTTGAGCAGGTTATTGGATATTGTTTTTGAGGGTAGCCTTAAAAAGCCAAGCTTTTGAAAATTGATCGCAGTGAGCTGTTTTGCCACTTTCACCAGCTGACAAAAATCGAAGCAGGGCGCTGAGAGAAACCAAAAATACCCTACTTCCCAGTCAGAGGGAAAAAATATTAATCGGGAAGGGCATAATCATTCAAATCTTACCTTTCCAAACTGAAATTCACTATAGCACAGATATCTCCCACAGTCAACCCTATCACTTTCACTGCCCCATGACAGGCACAGCACACCAGAATCTTTGGGGAAAAATATGAAATAGTGAGGTGAAGAAAACGTGACAGAAAATATATTTTTATCTAAAGCGTAACTACTTCCCTTGACATCCGGGCCTGGTGCCGCGCTGTGGTGGCGAATCTTGGCATAACTTCCCCACCAATCTGGAAACCTCAAGTTTTTCCTGATGATACAGCTCTCCCCAGTTGTGCTCCAGGGCCGAGCTCTATCCACAGAGCAGCTAATGTGTCTGAGGGATTGTGTTACATATTTTAATCATTGTGGTATTTGTAAATATCCTGGGTACGTGTCTGGGCTTGAGTGCTGGAGACAACTAGTGTTGGGCCCTGTACTCTCCTGTGGCTCAGAGAGTACAGCCAGGGCAATGAGCTAGGAATTCAAGAACGACCGAGACATCTCTCCACTGAAAACCTGTGTCTGTCCCCTGTTGGTGTTTCTGATTAAGTCAGGATCCAGACCTTCGTTAGTGAATTGTTATTAACCAAAAAAGCAACATTTTAACGTGCATACAGTTACAGCTTGGGGAAAGAATAAAAAAGCACGGGTAAGATTTATAAGAAATCTGTAGTCTGGCAGGTAAAAAATATGTATACTGTTCAAGGTATAAAAAGCGACCAGGTTTGTTTAAATTCTCGTCGATTTTTAACAGTTATCAACATGGTCAGCCAAGTGCTGAAGGAGTAGTTCACGCAGAAAGGTAAGCATGCAAGATCTATCCAGATGGCAAGAGGTGATGGGTCTACTAACCAAGCCTGTGTGTGCTTCTGCAACTGTTCCCAGCATTACCCAGACCCTGTGGTCCTGCCAACCATAGAAATACACCCTCCCCCACGGCCCTCCCCCTTTGCGAGTTTCAAATATTTAATTATTGTTGAAATATTTATGACCGTGCTAAAAAAAAATCCAGACTTCATGAAACAGAATTTACGCTGTGGTCACTATATTGTCGGTGCACACATGGAGCGTGCGTGGATCAGACTGTGTGACAAAGCAGGCGGGAGGCATTACAGGCAACCTCTGCTTCCGCACTCGCCTCAGCCCAAAGCGTGTTACACTGCCAGTTTGGGTTAAATGCTCTATGAGCCCAATACAGACGCAGAGATAGGTTGGTAAGTGGAATCAGGCCAGTTAGATTTATGGCGATTTGTTCAGGGAGTGTTCATCCACTGGCCATTATGGAATGATTAGAGGAGAAGGTGAAGCTCCAAGTCCAGTGAAAATCAATAACGCTGTCGAGAACAATTCTGCCTTCCTGCTGGAGGAGTATTAGCACAAAACCCTGCCTTTTCACACTTCTTCATCCCTTCTCCTGCGACCTGCTCCCTCCCTCGCTCTTTGCCGCTCTCTCTGCCCTGCTCTCTGGATCTCTGGCTGTTCTGCTTTTCCCTGTATTTTCTCTGATCCCCTCTCCGCCGGTTACCTTCCTCTGCTGATCGGACTAGAAGATCTTCTTTACAGGCCACACTACATGGTAGGATCTCCATTCTAAAAACAGACATACTTTCTCTTATCAAGTTATTTTTCGTGTGCCCCATCTCACTCCCACTGTGATATCTACAACACAAAGTGAACACATTTCATTTTACTTGAATGCACCTTTTTTAAAAAACAATAACACCAGGGATTTACTATTGACGATGTCTTGGTTGAATTAAAAGGCATCAGCGTTATTATGACCAACTAAGGAAGCCCCAATTAAACTAAACTGGCTGCAGAATCTTTTATTTCTTGCTAGCGAAATGCAGGAATGTCTTATTTTGTCCAATGAGCCCAACCACTTGATGTTCATTGGATGTTCAGAGAAAAGTCAATTATTTTCTCAACAGCCTCCCGAAATTTCATTAACGTTCACTATTACTGACAAATTCTCAGGTCTTTTCCTGAGACCGGTCAGCATGCGTTTCAGGATATGAGGAAGACTGGCTCACTCCCTGTGCCAATGCCCAGCCTTCGCCTATGGGAGCCGTGGGATACCACAGGGTCCAGTCTCCCAGTGGCCAAACTGACCGTTCAACCATCAGCGCATTGGCTTTAATCCCATCTCCAAAGGACTTATATGGCGTAAGAGACAGAGAACTTGAGAAGATTTATGACAGTCCTCAATGAGATGCAGCCTGGGATCAAGCTAATACATTTTAAAAGAGTGCACATAACACTAGACTACTGGTTCCAAATGAAGTCTCTTGACCCTTTCTGTTACAGCCTCTCAGGGGACACTTGGCACCTATCTACACCTTTTGAGACTGTTCCGTGGCACAGCTCTTACAGGTGTGAGTGTGAGACAATATGCTTTTGGATAAAACAAATCTGAACGTGCCACTGAGACCTTGTCCTTTGGAAGATATTTTGTGGAGATCTGGACACCCTTAAAGAGCATATGCTTGCATTTGTTCGAAGAAGCTCTACTTCTGACTGGAAGCAGGTAGTTAGGTTATTTTGTATTTTGTGTATCAGTTACAATTTGCTCTGCTTTGCAGTTTGGGGAAATAAATAATACAGATTTCTTAAAAATCCTCTACTCTCTGTCTTTCAACTTGAGCTCATTTCCACACTGCTTTCAGCCCTACCCCCCTTCTCCTCTTGCCCGAATCACATTGTCTCTGCCCCACCTTCCCTTCCTCTCCTACCTTCCTGTTCGCTCCCTCTCACCCCCTGGGTCTCCGTTTCACCTGAGCCGCGGGACTCCAGACCACCAGATCAAATCCTGTGAAACTGGAAACACGCCCCCGCGTTTTTGATTGGCAGAGACCGTCGCTCAAAACTGCAAACTTACTTTTGCTCGAAAAAGTGCAGCAATTATTCATTTTCCAAACACATACCCGCGGTTTGGAATGGTGACAACTGCCATGGGGTGGCAACCAGTGTTATGATAAGTTACCCGTTTTGAAACACAAAAAAAGGAAGATTATTGATCAATTTCGTGAATTCTCCCTTCTCCAGACCCCCGCGGCCTTGCGCCCGGCAGCCCACACGCCGACAGGCGTGCCGAAGCAGACCAGCCGCTGAAGAAGAGGCTCATGGGAAGGGGGGGGGGGAGAGACGCTCACCTTGTACAGCTTCAGGCTGGCCTCGTGCCGAGAGTTGACCGTGTGCAGCCGCAGCTTCTCCAGGCTGTTGGTGTAGTAGTCGCAGGCGTTGCACTTGAGGTGGACGGGGTTGCCGATGGCCACGCACTTGAGCCGCCACTCGTTGCCCTTGCCGCCCTCCTTGATGTGGGCCACCAGCTGGTACTTCTGGACGTGCTTGTCCGTCTTGCAGTGCAGCTGGAAGTTGGCCTTGAGCTGCGTGGTGTAGCGGCACAGCTTGCACTGGTGCGAGTCGCCCACCACGGCCCTCCACTCCTCCTCCGGCAGGCTGCGCTCGGCGCCCATGTGCAGCCCCAGCAGGTCCAGGTTGTCGGTGGTGAAGCGGTTGCACACAGCGCACTGGAAGAGCTTGAGGGAGGGGTCGCTGGTCTGGGACAGGCTCTCCCCCAGGGTCATCAGCTCCTCTGACACCAGCTGACCGCCCCCCAGACGCATGTCCAGGGGGATCTCACCGCCCACTGCGGATACAACACACACACATGCAGACAGGAATAACACTCTCGCTCTCTCGGTAACGTGTTTTCACAAGCAAAAAGTACAATTTAAAGTAATATAAGTAAGAACGTGACACTGGGCACTTTTTTCATGTACAATAAAAAATTCATTTTGGATTGTTTTGTTTAAAAAAAACCCCAAAAGGACAGTAAGAAATCACAAATATAAAAAAGTTCTAAGGGTTTTATTTTTTGCATTTCAATGTATCATTAATGTCCTAGACTGAATTGGAAGGTATGGGGTTAATTTACCGGCACAGTACAGTGTTTGCATTTTTAGTCAAAGTGGATTTATTCTCCTGTTCAAATAAGTGTTGGAGGCTAAAGTGCATGTGTGTATTTAGCTACCTAATTTCATTAAATCAAGATTATTCTTCCTTTGACTACAAACAATTGCAAAAACTTCACAGGAACTGAAACTCACTACACTGGTCTTTGAATTTCTACACTGTAAACTTACATAAGACCCTGTTCAGATGAGCACATTTCCACCGTCCTGTTTTAAATCAACTCCAGAAGTCTTAAGTTACAAAGAAAAAGCAGATTATTTTGTTATTACAAGAAGACTAAAGAGTTCCCAAGCACATATGACTGTAAATCGAATCCAGTCCTTCACTAAACAAATACTCCTCTTGGAGTCGTCTTGCTTTCTCATTCCAGATTTTTGCTGAATCAATAGAGGGACCTACCTGACTAGTCTCTCTCTGAATAAGGCCAGGTGTTTAACGGCAATAAGGACAGACTCTATCAGACAAAAATAAGGTAATAAAAAAATTCTGAAATGCAAAATCTGAGGAAAGAAAGGCTTTTCAGTTTTTGCTTTTGCTCCGTGATCTTTAATCTATCACTGCCCAGACTGAAAGCGCTGGCTGACCCTGCCTGGCTTTACACTAAATTAATTCCAGAGGCTCGTTTTTATTTATTGCCTTGGTATGCAGGCTGCAGTCCGACTTTTCTCCATTACCTGGGTTTTAACAGCCAGACGGGAGACCTCTGTGAACCTTCTGAAATCACTCAAAGCTCAACTTGCTCTCTTCACTCTTTCACCGCCTGTTTCTCAGTCCCTCCAATCCCTGTTACCCAACTTCCACTCTTGCTGTTTACTGATATTATGTGAAGGTGTTCAGCTACAAAACTATTCAATCATAAACCTCTCGTTTTCACGCAATTTCTGTTCTTGTGAACTTTAAAACAAAGTTAGGTTTTTGTGCAGAGTTCAGTCTGGTTTTAGGACTTGACATTAGCATAGCATTGCAGCCCTTAGTAAGAGTATGCTAGTACACTACAGCTGCTCTTTCATACACCTGAATTTTAATCTCTTCTACTTCATACTACAGAGACACAGCAAAGGGAAAGGTTTATGTGTGGAAAACATGAAAAACCAAAATCCTTTATAAGTCCTTTGTAATTGGGAAAATAGTGGTAAAATTAAATCTTAAACAAAAAGTGTGCTCTGAATGACGACTAAGGCTGTAATATATAATGTGTGTATTTAATATTTTGAAAAGATGCTCTCTAAGTGTCTTTGTCTTGAAGTTTAGTGTTCAACAACAAAGCAGGGCAGAGCACACAATACTTAGAGCCTAAAGGCACTTAGTCACAGTGCCCTTCTTCAGTGCTGAGGATTAGGATGAGACTTCAGGTTAGACTGCGTGAGGTCAGGATTTGTGATCTCTTTATTCAAAGAAATTACAATATTAATATTAATATAATATATTGTATAAATATATGTAATATAAAAACTGAAATGTCTGCAGAGGCTGGATTTAAAAAAACAACAACAGATTCGCGGGTCATGTCAGAGACCCCCAAACTGGATGTGTTGGGTAAAACTGAAAATAATTTCTTTTGTGTGCTGGTGTGTGTGTGTGTGTGTTTGTGAACGTGTGACTGCACGTGCGCTTATCTAGGAGGCTCCAACCCCTTCAGAGAAAAGTCTCAAAACCCCCGTCAGTACTGTTCTGTAACATGCTTATTAAACATTTGCAGGAAAATTAACCAGATGGCAGAAAAGAAAAAAAAGAATTAGTCACAGCAATCAATTCTTGTTAATGTCTTTGAACTTGCGACAGTCCGAGACAAGTCTGTGCAAACTTTGGGATTGTAACTGGCACGCACAACACTGCAAAAGAAATACCCTGACTGGGTTTTTTTTTCTTGACCAAGATAAAATTTATTACTGCAATTATAAGTTTAAAAATCCGCTGCAGACTAAAGCAGCTGTTTCAAAACAGTGACATACAAAAGGAGCAATGTTTCTGGAAACCTGTATAACACTCTGCAGCACTGTCCTAGCCATTCACTAGCCTATACCGGGACAATCAAGATAACAGCTCCTAAGCTTGAATTTCCCAGATATTATAACCCATATAAAAATATAAGGCTTCACAGAATGAAGCACTTTGTCCAAAGTGTTAGAAAGACTCTGAGGGATTTATACATTGGGAGTTAAAAGGTGATCTGCATTCACCACTAAAGAATTACAATGCAATAAAATCTTTTCTCATCAGCTTAATGTGCTAGAAACCCTTCAGCTGTATTGCACTATCAACCTTGACATGAACCAAGAAACCACCGCCCCAGCTCTGTTAAGATGCAACGTCTTCCTTCAGAATTAGCTTTAAAAAGCCCTTTTTAGATTTGTGCAGTATCCACTTTCCTTTAATAACAGACTTTTTTTAATGCATTGATTTTGTCACACTTATACTACAGAGTTCGGGTGACAGCCCCGCCCACAGGCCTGAGTGCTGCTGGGAGTGCAGTGCAGATTACAGAGAGGGTTTCAGTAATGGGGTTTGAATGAAACAGACGTTCTCAGGTTCGGAAGATGGGAACTGGGAGACAGGGGCGCTCTCCGATTCCGGAAGCACATCCCGGCACAGAGGAGCACACCCGGCAGGGCTACGGAGGTAAACGCACTAGCGAGCACAGAAAGCCCAGGAAGTGGCGTGAAGTCAAGAGCACGCCTCGCAGTGCTGTCCTGTTTGAAGTAGCTCCACGGGGGGGGGGCTGTCGTGCTCTCTTCTCTTCCACTGCTGGCAACAAAAGAAACTGTGCCGAGTTCAGCAGGGCAGGTGTGCCCTGGGGCAGCAGGCAGGGACAGAACAAGTCGCTCTGCCAAATATGAAAGGGAGCAAGAACGTCTGTGTATACTTGGCTCAATTAACCTCTTCTGTTCCAGAGCTTCCCATATTCAACTGATTCTTTAGATAAAGAGGGGCACATTAACAAAAGGGCATCGGAAAAGGGGGAGCTGGTTTTCTAATGCCCAAAACGCCGCTTCTGACTACAGCCTCGGTCTGAAATAGTGGTTTCGTCTGCCTCATTTTTCATTCTTTCTGAAATGACCTGAAAAAAAACCCTTCTTTAACCTGCAGTCAGCGCAATGAAATTTGTTAGCACTGCAACATTCTTTGAAAAATAGTCAATGTGTTTTTACAAAGAACCAACCCAGGTTTGTCCTATAAAATGTTTCAGTCTAGACTACATATATTTGAGTACTGGACCTATGGAGTTTGCAAAGAAATAACCTACATTTAGCAATCTGGGCAATCCCACCCATGATAAACCTGCTCTTTAACATTTTTAGGTTCTTACGATAAGGCGTTTATTGGAGTGGCAAGAAGCAGGGGCCAATTTAGAGCACGGCAAGGAAGCGGGACTGTTCAGGTTCCCGTTGTTCGATATAGTGATCTCACCAAGTGCAGGTGCCAGGGCGGCCATGTTGGGGTCAAGCTGGAAGCCGCCCAGCAGGAACTGGGCGTCGGCCCCTGTGGTGTCCATCTTGAGGCCTGGGGGTAGACTCATGTTCTGCGTCAGGTAGTACTGGTAGAGCTCGGCTTCAGAGGGCGAGGGCAGGCCTCCCAGGCCCAAGCGGCCGTGCTGCATCTGGGTCATGTTCTGCTGAAGCAGCATCATGTTGTGCATGTGCTTCTCGCTGGTCATGTGGATGCGCAGGTTGCGGGCCACGTTGGTTTCATAATCGCACACCTCGCAGCGCCACGTGGGCTTGCTTTTTGGCTTGGTGGGGGAGGGGGCCCCGCAGGCTCCGCTCACATGGGCCGTGGACTGGGCAGGGTGGTGGTGGTGGGCGGGGTGATGGGCGGTAGCCTGTGTGGCCGAGGGCACGCCCACCACTCCGCCCGGGGCGTGTCCGAACACCTGCTCCCCTGCAGAGGCCATGGAACCCCCGTTCTGCAGGTTCTGCATGTTGTTGAGGTGCTTGTCAGACTGCATGTGGATGCTGAGGTTGCCCTTCGTGGTGGTGGAGTAGTTGCAGACCTCACAGCGGAAAGGCTTGTAGCCACAGGTATAACTCTCTCCCCGGGCCAGGCGAGGGTGACTCTGCCCAGTGCTGCAGTAGACACAGGAGCCTCCTGGGTCCGGGTGCTTCTCCTTCATATGGGCCTCAAGTGTCTGCTGGTACTTGTAGTGCCAGTTGCACTTGGGACACTTGAGAGTCTTGCACGAGTTGCGGGAGTGCATCATGGTCATGTGGCCGCCCAGGGAGCGGGAGGATCCCAGCACGGTGTCGCATTTGGGGCACTCCACCCCACTGCCTCCGCCACCTCCAGCCGCGGCATTCTGGGGGCACTCGCCGGCCCCCGACAGCTCGCAGGTTGCTCCCGGGTGGGGGTGTGTGTGGCTGTGGGAGTGGGCCGAGGGGTGGAGGTGGTGATGGTGGTGATGGTGGTGAAGGTGGTGATGGTGCAGGAGAGCCCCACTGTCTTCTTCTCCCTCAGCTGGGCTTTCATTTGGTTCAGGAGCTGTGGCACTATCTCGATTGGCACTTTCATCTGTGGCGGCACTGGAGGCGAGAGGGGCCGAGGTGGCAGCAGGAGGGCATGCCGCCCCATCATCCTCACCCCCTCTACCTGCTGCTGCCGCCACCCCCGCAGGGAGAGCGGGGCCCTGGCAGTTAAAGCTCAAAGGGAGCTCTGAGGTCCTCCCCCCACCATCTACAGCCGCCCCCCCTTCAAACACCCTGACAGAGGAAGAGGAAGTTGAGTTGGGGGCTTTGCTGTTGTGCGTGGGGCTGGCCACAGAGGGGCAGGCGGAAGGCTGGAGAGCGCTACTAGGCATTAATAAAGGAGATTTGGAAATGCTTTGGTTTGAGACAGCCAGTTCCCCCCCTTCTCCGCCGCTGCTGCTACTACTGCCGCAGGCCACCGCAGTGCCCTCTTCCTCATCATCCTCTTCCTCTAATAACAGTTCCTCCTCTTCCTCCGAGCCCATTTCCTCGCTCGGCAAGAGTATTTCGCCCTCCCCTACCTCCCTCTCCTCATCCTCCCCCCTTCGTGTTCCCTCTTTCCCAGCAGGCCCCTCTGCTCTCCCTCGCTGCTCGGGCGGGGAGCTGGAGTCTTTGGCAGGGCCTGGGGCTGAGGTAAGCAAGGGCGGCTTGGGGCTGCCAAGCCCTCCCAGTGTTAGTATGGGACCTAATGGGGCTTGCTGGGGGCCCGCATTGGAGTCTTTGTTAAGGAGGGCTTCACTACCTCCACCACTACTCCCTGCCTCTAAGTGGACCCCACTAAATGTGCCATAGAAGTTCTGCCCAGAGCTAAGGGGCACCAGGGAAGGAGGTGCAGGGGAGCTCTTGTTTTTTGGTTCCAGGAAGCTGATAAGGGGTTCCTTGTCCTTTCCAATGCCCTGGATTATAGCAGAGGCGTGTTTATGCCCCAGAAGCCGGCGCTCATCCTCGCTCAGGGTCATGCGATGGTCGTGCACAGCATGAGTGGCGAAAGAGCGCACATAGCCGAAGGACAACTTGCAGAGGAAACACATGAGGATGGGCTTGCCTTTGCCATAGAGGGCCAGCCCATCGAATTTGGAGAAATCCACGTTGTTGGGAACATCTTTGGATACGCAGGACTTCTTGGCAGACCCGTCGCTGTTTAAGTAATCCTTGTTGCTTTTGTGCCGCACATCGAAGACGCGGAAACTGTGCAGGACAGGACTCAGGCCTGCCAGGGTTGAGGTATTGGGGAAGCCTTGGTCTGAGGAGCCGAACCACTTTCCGAAAGACGAGGCTATGTGGAACGTGTTGATGATCTGAGGGTAGACCGAGGAAGAGGTCCCGGCAGATTCGCCCGGCTTCCCCGTGCTGGGGAGAGAGTTTGTGGGGAGCAGGCCGGGTGCCACCCCCCCACCACTTTGGATCAGCTGGCTGAGGCTCTCCACGATGTAGGCTGAGCCGTCGGGCTGGTAGACAATCTCTCCAGCCAGGTTCTCCACATCACTGCTGTCCTCCTCCTCTTCCTCCTCTCCTTCCTCACTCCCGCTCTCTGTCGCCCCTCTCCGTCGTGCCTGTTGGCGCAGGAGAGTTGGCATCCCTCCTCCCGGAGCCATGGGTACTCCTTGGAAGGGCTGCAGACTTGGGAAACAGCCATCGATTTCCATTTCTTCTTCCAAGTCCTCCAAGTCTTCATCGTCTTCCTCTCCGCAGCTACCCACTTCCTCCTCCTGCTCCTCAATGCCCTCTCGCCTCGACGGGTGTTGCCCTGCCGCAGAGCTCTCGCTGGGGGCTGGGGGCGCGGGCCTCTGCTGCTCTCTCACACCCTCACGGGGAACATTAGGAGCCTGGTGCTGGGAAGGATAGGGCGCCGAGAGCGATAGGGGCTCCAAGGAATGGGTCTGGTTGCTGGGAGGGACCTGTACGTTAGAGTGATCGTTCCAGGGCTGCGGAGGGTGCTGCTGTTGCTGGGAGGAGGAGGTGGCGAGCCCATCGTCTGTCCCAGAAACCGCGGGAGACTCACAGCTTTCCATGCTGATGCCTACATGAGGCGTTCATCGCATCCAGGCCTGAGAAGCAGAAAGAGAGAGACGGGGGAAGTCATATAACTTGGATGCCGACTGATTTCCATTTTTTCCAGGTTTTTATATGTTTAAGGAAGAAACCAAAACATGTAGCAGTGCACACAAAATGTAAAGTTGCATGTCAGGTGTTTTGTAAAATAGAGAAAACAAGTTTCCAATGGATCATTTTGACATTTGGGAGCTCCATAATGATCTACACTGAAATCAAATAACAGAGACACTCTGATAAATGGACCATCTATGTATAGGAGCCATAGAACATTCCTTAATGTATACTATATTGAGTGTGAGACAAACGTGTGAGATCTAATTGGAAAAATGACAGAGTGCTCATTATGTTTGATTGGGTGCTTAAGAACAGAGCCTCAGACAACCACTAATAAGCCACCTAAGATTCATCTTCCAGCAATATCAACAACTGCAATCCTTCATCTTCACCTACCAAACAACACTCCTGACTTAAATATTGCTTCACTCTTAATTTTTCCAATTTTAATGAAGCACTGAACAAAAAATCAAAAAGATCCAAAAATATAACTAAAGATCCAAACTTCTAACTCAAGAAGATGCTAAGAAACAGTGAAACAGTGACTATAGGTAGTAGTAATTTCTGTGATTTAACAATAGTTAGTGTAGGTACAAATGCTGCATTACTTTGAATTAAATTCCCAATTTAAGCCTCTGTATAGCACAGTGCTATTTTGACAATGTTATATTAAAAGCTTTTTACTTTTTGATGGTCTTTGATAAATATTAAAACAAAACTTGGAAATAATAATGCTTTTAGTACAGTATGTAAAAAACCTAACCTATGCTCCTTTGCTTGATAATATTTTCAATTAAACCTTAAAAAATTGTATGTATACACAAGAGTACAGAAGGCAAGGTCTCTTAAAAGGCAATAAACTTGCTATCCCAAAAACACAGATAAGCTGACTCTGGTACCAGCTGTGTTCCAACCTCACTGTCAATAAACAGCTCTGTTAAATGTGATTTGAACACCCCTGTGCATCCCCAGTTTAAAATAATAAACGTGGCCCTGTGTTCAGGTTAGCAGTGCCCCGAGCTTCAAAAAGGCAAAGCACAGGCAGGAATTTAAAACAACAAGGAGATAAAATGATAGCAAGAGATACTGCTGAGCTAATAATTTTATTAAAGGGATGCAGGCAACATTGATTAAGGGGGGTGACCGGACTGAAACCAATAACTCTCGTCTGGCCTTTAACCTTGAATGCTGAATATTACATGAGCAAAGTTTCCCGGCACAGCACTGCGTTCTGTCCCAGCTGATTAGCACATTCTCTGCCTCCACTTGATTTATTTACTTATTTACTTAGGGATGCAAATTTCAGGCGTGTGCAGACACTATTTCTTTTTTTCCTGCATAAATGGATACGGTCGGAGAAGAAGGATTGACAGTGTCTCGTTATCCAAGAATCCTGTTGAAAATAAGGCAGCTCCCTCCAGCCTCTGGAACCAAATTAATCCCTTTATTTTTTTTATGATCTTCAATAGTTTCTCATTACATTGGCAGATTTCTATATTCCCCATTTAACCTGAATAATCCAGCATTGGAAGTTACGTTCTTACTAAATAGGCGACCTAAACATTTTTCTTGGGTAATTACCTACGCACAAAATAAATTCAAAAGTAGTCAGTTGGCAGGTGTGGACAAGGCCTTATGGAATTTTTAGGGTTTTTGTTTAAAAGCATCGCCCACTGTCTTCCCAGAGCTTGCGACAAATGCCTGTCCAGGAGGATCATACTGAAAGAGAGGCCACACTTCAGGTGACGGCCATTTTGTGTCAACACATTACATATTTGCACTCTGTCACCATTTGTGGTTTGGTCCTTTCGATATCGAATGAAATGATTTCGACATTTGTTTCACTTACATTAGCTGGGAATACAGAAAGAATGCAAAGAATGTTTAGCCACCTGTTTTACAGATTAAGCAAGGGACAGAGCAAGCACTGATACTTTAATATCTGTGAAGCAAGCTTAGAGACAAAGCATTCGGTATGAATGAAACCAGGACCTATGTCCACTGCATTCAGTCTGCTGGCTGAATATTCAAAAGCGGAAAGACTGACAGATGTGCCTCATACATAAACAAGCGTCTTCTATTCAACTCATCTGTAGGCCACTCAATTGTTTTTACCTCTCAGTTTCATAGCCTGACTTGACCTAAGCAGTGTATTTTGTAAAAATACCTTTTAACTTCACTAGGATCTGAGAATACTATCTGCACAGGTGATTAAAACAAGACTTCAGTTTAGATTATTACATTTAAAGGAAAAGGAAACTGAACAAGGGAGCCAACCAAGCTCAAACACAGAATGTCCTGGCTGTAGCCTACTGAGCGAGGCTGTAACTGGGCAAAGACACAGACAGCCGGGACCTGAACCAACTAAACATTTTGTGAACTGTAATGTTTTGTTCACCAGAAAGGCCAAAGTAAAGCACAGCATCTTGACACTGTATAAAGTAACATCGTAAACTTGGCATTTCTCTTTTCAACTTCATTCGCGTGCCATAAAGACACAAGAAATCAAGTTAATGTTCTATAATTTTAATGACATGCTTCAAGACAGAGAAAAAATGGTCACGGCCCCTCTTTGGTGTTGGGTAAGAAAGCAGACACGAGAGAAACCGTTTCCTTCAAATCTTCGCCGAGCCTCAACCCATCCGAAAGCTACACGAGTCAGCACGCCACGTCCTCAGTTCGCGCTAAACAAGATTACTCTTTACAAACAAATAGATCTAATTCAATAACCCATGCTGGTTATTGATGCTCAAGAGTACTGTCAGGAGTCTTCCTGCCGCCAACGGGCCTGGGAATATGGCCTAATACTGTTTGTCTGTAGTACTTATGTTAACTAAGTGACACCTGTTTAAAGTAGGAAAGCCTTTAATGTCTCCAATAAACAAATGAGATTTGCTGTGCAAGACACGTTGACGAAGAAACACGAGGAAGTACAAGCTATTTTGAGTATGAAGAAATAAGCTGTCACTGCTCTCTGCTTGCTGTGTTTATCGACTCCAATTCAAAGTAATAAATCAATGGATTTTTGTGCACAGAGACTGCAAGGTCTCAGCTATTAGGGTAAGGTAGAATGCTCCAATCTCAGCTCCTCCACATTATTACTACACAAATTAACAAGCGGTCCTAAATCTCTCTTCTCTGCGAGGTACCGCTGTCATCTTTGCACCTTGATAGACGAAAACTAAACATACTTCATTCGGCATTCTCCACCACAGTTACGCAACCTTTTATTACATTATTGTTGCCAACACAGAAACTCTAATTGCAGCCCTGCAGTGATGTTTACTGTACTAGGTGATTTGAGGAAAAAACAACGGCAAGGAAGTAAAACACTAAATGAAGCCAAAACAAGCCCACACTCTCACAAAAAGATAATCCCTAAGAATAAAGGGCAGGATTCCAGAACTCTGGGAATAAACATCAATGCAGAGCCTTGCCCTAGCAGAGCCCTTCCAAAAGACAAAAGAGAAAACAATTAGCCAGTCTTCTTTAAAGAAAGCTTCTCGCTGCTTTCAGTCTCAACACTGTCCACAGAATAAGCCCTTGGGGATACCCAGCTGTGCCCACGCACTGGTCTCACTTTCCCATCAGCGCGGCCCTCAGGAACTGCCTAATCTATTTGGACAGGTGGCTTCTGTCTACCTGCAAAAGGTTCTAGCTTGCTCCACCTGTCCATCTCTTTCCGTCGTAGGAGTTTCCCATTCTGCAAGAACACGAGCATGATATTATCCCGCCAAATGTCCGTAACAGAAATGGGGTAGAACAGGAAAACTGGGTTCGGTTCTGTGATTACTTTGACAAAGCAGCCAACCAGAGATGGAAATATTCCCACAACACAATACGAATTTCTTGCACTGCTGGAAAGTAATGGACGTACTGTAGGACGATAAAAAGAACGGTGTCTGTCGGAGGGATTCGTCTCTTATTTTAACCAAAGGGCTAAAGAGGAGTTTGTTGGTATTTATATGGTGACTTACATTAACCAGGATTTACCAGTGGGTCATGAAGTAAATGAAAACAGAGGTTGCTTTTATAAGAACCCAGCTCATTATAAGCATCCAGAATAACCTGCCTTAGGGCTAGGGCATGATCCCTGAGGACAGGGGATATATGAATTCTCGTGGGGAATTAACTCCCAGCCCAGATCCAGCTGAGCACCTCCCAGAGTGCTCCTCTCCCCCTCTCTCCCTCCTGATTCAGGGGAATCAGAACACAGGACAAAGCTTTACTGGGAGGCACCTCCATCCCCCACTTCACAAGCTGGGACATTGCTTTACCTTTTAAGATTCAGCCATCCCGCATCCTGGTCACTGAAGGGTTAGTACGCTTATTGAAAAATCAATGGCATAAATGCTTAGCAAGTTACAGGAAAATGTGGGAAGGAAGGGTTCCTATTGATAAAGCAGAAGGCCTTTGATGTTGCACAGGGGACATGTTTATTGATAGAAAAACCATTGTACTCCTCAGGCTAAGCAAAAGGGCTTGCCTGCAAAGCTCTCCCAATTAATTGTGTGTATATAATAAATGCAGACACACGTATACACAAATTTCTGTACTTCAGAATCACTTCCAACAGGATCCATTAAATCAACTTTTATGACTTTTTTAAATTAAAAAACGGGCACCCAATCATAAAAGATCAACCCAAGTGAATCTACTGCAGGTACAGATTAACAACGTGGCTACACAGTGTTCTCAGCACAACAGCCTTGGCTCAGACTGCAGGCCACAGACCAGCCTCAGCCCTCCTCACAGGACCCGAGATAAGGACCAAGCGATTCCGCCTTCCCCCTACTTTTAATACCCCTCCCCCCCCCGGTCCTGTAGTGTACAGTCACACTACAAGACCACCGCGCCCACCAAGATACCAAGACAGCTACAGAAGGTGTCTTTCGAAAAACAACGTTTGGGAACAGGATAAAAAGTGTGTGTGTGGGGG